GAAGGAACGTTTAAACCATTAGTATCTGCCGAAATCAAAATTCGACAAAAATTCGATAAAATAATACAGTAAGTACAAAATTATATCTTAATTTATATTTAATTTGTGAGAATTATGTGAACAATAATAAAGTTTTGCAGATGTAATAATTACAATATTAATTTTATGTATTTAGAATATTTAGAAATCATCAAAGCATTTTTAAAAAAATTCTTTCCACATAGATTGCATTCTTATTAATGTTAACAAAACTCTATAAATGTTATGGGTGTGTACATTTAAATTCTTTTGTGCATCGTTTATATTTTTGATAAATTTTACGTATACACGAGAGAATTTTATCTTAAAACTTATCCTGAAAATCACATAAAATTTGTCGGAATATTATGTTGTTCCACGATTAACATGATTTTCAGGATAAATTTTAAAAGAAAGTTCTCTCTGCGTAGGGAATATTTTTCTGTGAAAATAAAAAAATTTTGTGCCTTACAAGGTAAGAGTATAATTATATTTCATGTTTTTCCTAGGAAAAATGCAATGTGTTATTTTACATTAATTATGACCTCTTATGTAGTCCACATTTTGGTATCGTTAACGACGAATTTTAGAAAGAGGCAGTTAACATTCAGAGGATGGATACCGTATGATTACTCGTCGTCCATGCTATTTTGTCTCACATATGCTTATCAATACACAGGCGCGATATTCTCGTGCCTCATCCACATTGCTTGTGACAGTCTCATTATCGGTCTGTTAATGCATTTGTGCTGTCAAATTGCGATCTTACAATATCGTTTAAAAGGTCTCATAAATGGCCAAAATACTGTGCGTGATTGTGTACGCCAACATTGCCATATAATTAAGTTAGTCTTGTGAAAATCGCGTTAATCTTGATAGATCTAATCTTAGAATATTTTTAATAGTTAATCACTTTTTAACAAGTTCCTGTTTCCTAATTTTTTGAAGGCAATAATTTTAATACTTATAGTGTATAAAAATATTGTTTATAGATTCGCACAGGTAACTAACGAGAGATTTACGAGGATAATCACGTTTCAATTCATAGCAAGTACATTTGTAATGTGCTCAAATTTGTTCCAATTAACTCGAATTACATTAAACGTAAATTTCATTATGTTATTTGCATATACGTTGGGTGTGCTTGTACAAATTTTCGTCTATTGCTGGTTTGGAAATAAACTCAAAGTAATGGTGTGCATACTTGTATTATTTAAATTAATTAAACTAATTATCTAAATTATTACGAAGTTATTATATACATATATATATATATATATATATATATGAAAATTATATTATTATATGTTTTCTGAAGAGAGCTTAAAAGTAAAATATTAAATATATTAAGATAATATATAAAATATATATAAATAATAATAAATTTATAGAGCATTCAATTAGTCGATAGTATTTTCGAAATAGAATGGATCGCATTGGACAATAAAACTAAAAAGAGTCTTTTGATAATTATGAATCGCGCGATGATACCCATTGAATTTAATAGTGCATACATTATTAATATGAATCTAGATTCTTTTGTATCGGTGAGTATAAAATATAGTATAGAAATTAAATTTCATAACGTAATACGAA